AATTAAATGTTTGACATCTGCCTGATTTGTTTAGCGTGAAAATGCTGAAAATATCCCGATTTCGGGCAGCCAGGTATAGGTAGACCATATACCATATATGGGTATGGGTTCGGGTCGGTGTTGTGCAAACAGATTGCATTTAGAGCAGTCGGATCCCCCTGCGCTCCTCGGTTCTTTCTGGTTGTTGTTGACTTGACTGCTTTTTGATGTCTTCTTCGGGTGGTGTTGCTGTTTTTTCGTGGCCTTATCGCCAACTGACGTTTGTACCTCAGAATGTGTACTTAAGATAACGAAAACGAGGAAGAAGCAGCCAGGCCTCAAAGTGACACGAAGGGGGCTACATCCACATCCACATCAGCAACTCGAATGAAAAAGAATGTCACCAGGTTCGAATTGAACTTTCGAAGAGGAACACAAGCTTTCATAGCCAAACAGATGGATAAGATCGATGGGGAAAATGGTTATACTCGGCCCGAAAACTGCACCTCATGGGTGTATGGCGATTTCTTGGAAATAAAATTTGAGGTGCCTTTGTCGTATCAGGCAGTAGTTAATAAGCATATTCTAATCTAATCAGCGGATCGTTAATTAACTTCCATAGTTGACTTTCGCTTTCTCAAGTGTTACTTGAGCGCTGCTTTAGCAGCTGGAATTTATACACAGGGCACAGTAGTATCTTATCGATGAGTCAAAGATCAAATTTTCAATTCCCGAAACACACGTTAAATAATCCACAATTCATTGGAAGCTCTTATATAAACGACTGATTTCGGTAGATGCACTTTGTGGATAGCCGGCCGTTCACTAATCCAAAATTGATTTATTTTTGTGGTTATTATAACACTTTTTCACAGATTTATATCCTTAAATCTTACTTTCGTTTCGGGACGAACGCGCAAAGGCAATGTTTCCATGTTGAAAATCCCAGTTACACTCACCAACTGTGATTAGATTCCATGCCGCTGTTCGTCCAAACTTAAGGAATTACTGAAAAATTCAAATTATTATCGCTTATTATCTTGGGACATTATCAGTTCAAACACTGATATACTGATACAGACCGCGAGAGAGAGCCATGCCCAGGCCCAGCCCCAGAACCAGAACCAGAGCCAGAGCCAGCACCAAAACCCCGACCCAAACTGGAAATGGAACCTTAACTGGCTGCAGATAGCCCAAACTGGTACCTATGTATATCCTACGAGCAGCAACAGCAACAGCAAAAGCAACAGCAGGAACAGCAATTGATAGGAAATCTTCATTATCTTATAAATACGGCTGCATTGGTGGTCGTGTATCGCTAAAAAGCCAAGATTAGATACTTTTATCTAGCTGGGTCAACCTCGTCCCCTTGCCCCAATCCATCCCCAATCCCCAGCCACAAAGGGAATCGGCGACGTCACAGCTAGAATTCCCCCATTATCGGTTAAGCAAATTCCCAGACCCACTCGGATGTTTGTCCAAGAGGAGGAGCCGTGTACTGGGTTAAGTAGCCGCCACCGATTGACTTACCATTTCGAACGGGCCTTGTTGGGGGCCTGCCACCGGGAGGGATATCTCTAAATTCTAGGTGCGTAGTCGAAATCTCTGTTAAGATACGTTAACTTATCTAAGGCCACTATCTATTCTCAGATATTCGATATGTCCCTGTATGTATTCCATATACCATATACATATTAGAGTACCGGCTGTATTAGAGGCGTTGGCGATAGGAAAAATCGCTTTGGTTGATAGGAGCAATCAGCGGGTGTGCAACACGCAACGGAGTTTCCATTCCACAAGAGCATTTTTCCTCAGGCAGCCGCGGAAAAGTGACATGGTACACCTCGGTCCAATTTCGATTCAAATGGGTGGCAACGAAAAGCCATCCATAAATTTCTCATGGCTAAATCGCAAGGCTTTGAAAGCAACGTAAAGCCAAAAGGCGAACAACAAAATGTCAGCGCTCATAAGTAATAAATAATGTTTGTATGCGTTTTGGGGTCGCTGGAGTCGTCAGTTAACCAGCTACCTACCCAAAACCGAAACGCAAACCCAAAAAAGCCCGTACTCCTACCCGGCTACCCACTCCAAGTGGCGATCCCAATCAACCACCAACCCCAGTAGCCATGATTGTTAACGTTAATGGCGTCGATGTCGTTGCTGTTTTGTGGCCGTTGTGGTCTGCGTTCCACGTCTCACGTTTCCCAGCCAAAACAATGCCCAGCAGCACCAACAATGCCGCACTGAGCACCTCTCGCGGATTATTATGGATTGCCAGTTATAGTGATGAGTCACGACCTGGCCACATTGGCAAACAAAGGTGCGTATACTTAACAAGCAAACAAGAGAGTCTCGCAAAAAAGAAACCACTGCCAATCGCAATGGCTGTGCAGTTCGGGAATACAAATGGAATATACGTTAGATCCAAAATGTATGTTAATTGAAATCATATGAAATCATATTAAAATTAGAAAGGCTTAACTTAAACTTACTTAGAGTTCATATATACATATAGTAAATGTGCTTTTGTAGTGCAGTACAGCATTGTACTTAATAAATAGGGAAATCATCTTATAAAAATGTTTCAAGGTGTGCAATTTAGATTGGTTACAATTAAATTCGTATTTTGGATATATATTAAATTCAATTGGTAATAAGTTAATACAATATGTTGAGCTCCTCCACAAAAACTCCGTTTTCTTCTCTGATATCCGAACTTTCCCCTGACTCACCCAAAAGATACATCACTGTCCGAGTGTCCAATCCATAAATAAACGAATGAACATTCGTTAGCCAAGTGACAACTCCTCGGAGCGTAAACAAAGAAAGCTTAACTCTTTCCTTGCCAGCTCCTTCTGCGGAATTGGACCTCCTGATCTTCCAGCTGGCAAGCAGTACCTCCTCCTCCTCCTCCTGGGATCCCGGGAATTCCGCAGTGCGGAGTGCGCAGTTCCATTCTCATAACTCATGTCCGATGTCGGTAGCGTGTTTTAGCCGGATGATTTATGACCTCGGCGGGTTAATAGAATTTACTTGAACCCAATTTGGCTGCGGTTGGAAAGCGCAGCGTGCAGCCGCCCAAAGGGAGAGCCATTACGGAACTTCCATTTGCATCTCCATCTCGGTTCCATTTTTATTCGATTGAGCCACGCCATTGCGGCTGGCCGGGATTGGGCAACCATAAGGGGTGGACTTTGGATCAAATCGGATCGCACCCCTGCTGCCGACTATAATTAAAACTATGGCGCACGCCTTTGTTGCCACTGGGGCGTTTAATTTCCAATGAGTTCTCCTTATCAGAATAAACCCGTTTGCGCAGGCAAAAAAAAATGGGAAAAAGACGAAAACGAAAACCTAGAAAAATAATACAATTATAACCAAAACAAGAGCGCCATGAACAATATATAAGAATTAAATTCCATAGCGTCAATCTAGCCAAAGATCGGCGATACTGTCAACTGGTCGAGAACACTTGAAGGTAGATAACTTTTAGACTACGGTTTCCTGTGGTTTTCGGTGTGCTTCCACGGACTTTCATGGGCGCACCACTCGAAACTGCAAGAATAGGGACAAGTTGAAGGGTGTACGATTCCGGGCACACGATACGCCATGGTCAGCAATCTTAAGACTCTGTCTGTTTCGCCGCCCCTAAGTCTTCCGTCTTAGGGTCGTAAATTCGTTGGCAAAGCACCTAAAGCTAGGCGCGGCGGTGCCATCAATTAGGGTATTAATTGCCCGGCTCTTTTGCGCGGCTCGAATGTGCCACCTCGATGAGTCAATCCAGTGAGCGGGGATCCAGTTCGGAGTCCTCTCCTGCATTAATCTCCTGTAATGTTGAATTCGTGTAGCGCCATTTGTAACGATCGAAACTGGCGTAGCCGTCAACTTTTTGAGTGATTAATCACCGCACAGATATTTCGCGACACGCAGCAGCAGCTACTATTAGATACTTTTTGTCTGGCGGTTTTGCTCTTAAGATTTGCCCATGATTTATGCACCACATGCGTTGCAACAATTAAAATTATCGCCTCAACTCGATTTCCATTCATGGGAGCAGCGGAAAGTTGGCCGTAATTGTGGCATTATAAGCAACTCCGAGGGGATCGTGCATGTTAATGGCCGCCATATATCTGCTTGCTTTATGACTTTAACTATAAACAATTTATGATTCGCTGGGCCAACTTGGTGGCCAGCTGGGTGGCCAAGATACGTGGCTAAATTACAGATTGCAGCTCTTCAAAGAACAGAAAGCTGAGAATTTGTACTACTTGAAAGATGGGTTTAGCTATATGTATCTCTTCTAAATGGATATGGATGCATTACAGTAAAATTATAGTGAAAATCAGAAGGCTATATACATTTTTGTTTATGCTTTACTATTGCACTACTACATCCCTAATATTAATATATAATATGTGTACAGTATTTCTCTCCATATTGCATCTTTGCGTACAAAGTAATTGACAGGTCGAAAAATATATAAAATTTCTGATCAAGCACCCCAATCGCGCTGCCACTTCAAACTCAATCTTTTTCTGGCTGGTGACATTTCAGAGGTTTTGTAATATATTCGCCGCACCTGACCCTCCACCACGTGTGCTCCTGCCCCCCACCTCCACCTCCACCTTCTCCGGCAATGTTCATTAGTTACAACACTCGAGAGTGGATTGTGAAGTGGGGAGAACTACAGAACTGCAGAAGTGGAAGTGGAGCGCAGCCACGGAGCAGTCAGTTGTCAAAGCGGCCCACATTCGAACGACTGTTCGTGGGGTCATATAAAGTCTCCAGGCATAGGCCCATAGCCGTGCCCAAGCCCATGTCCGTGCCCATGCCCAGACCCACTTTCCAGGCCCAAGCCCGATCCTATGATATTCTGTTGGCGTTGACTAACGTTGCTCGGGTTTATTAGTTTGCCAGAAAAGTGTTTTATGAGTGCAATTAGAAAATGCGCTAGACTAAATTGCACAATTGACAAATAGCTGGGGGCGGCGAGGAGCTCTGAAGGGTGGAAATGGAATCAAATGTGGCGCTGGCAGAACTGTGCCGGCTGGTGGGGCTCTTGACGCCGCTCTTCGGAAACCTCGGAACCTCGTAACATCGGAGTGTAGGGGTAGAGCACGCAGGCGCAATTTGTATCTCACGGATACTTATCGCGTCCGAGGCACCAACACTCGTTGCGTATCTTATCGCATGTGAGGCGATAAGATAACCAATACCAGGCGAGGGGCTACAGAATAAATCATAACGCTGCCACACCGACAGGACCGCGCACCCACACAGGTGTGAGACCGCCCAACCGCAGCGGCGCTGGATCTTCATCGGTGTGGGTAGCTAATTGGGCGGCAAACGCGCGGCAGGCACCGCATTGCGTCGCCGTCGTTGTTGTCATCGCAAGTGAGGTGCTTGCTGTTCAGAGTGCTCAGTGTTTAGTGTTCCGAGCCCGGAGACCGGAGACCGGAGACCAGTACCACCGCCAGAGTCGAGTTGGTCTCGAAAAAATAGCACTTCGTATCACTGCTCACTGGTGAAGGTTGCGCGCGGGCCAGAACCACAATCACAATCAACAACCACGGATGACAGCATTAGATCGCCCCCAAAGTTCCAAAGCTCCAAAGTTCCTACATTCCGAAGTTACAAATTCGAGCAATTTTCCCAACTTACCACCTTTGCGCGCCACTTTGCCGGCCGCCCAAATTGATAGGAGAAGTGAACCAAACACACCTGGACACGCCGTGCTTGTGATAAATTTTTGAAAACACAACAAAACTGAAATCAAGCGATAAAAACCAATCTTAGATAAAACGCTGGAGGAAAAGCAAAGAAGAGCCGCTGGTAACTCAACTTCATGGTCTGCAAAACTATCTCACCGAGTGTAACAATGCAGCTGAAGGTGGGTAAAATAATCTGAAGTTGTTCTAAAATAGTCAAAGTATTTTCTTTTATTAATTATTAAATTTATCAAGTCGGTGATATCGTTTTTAAACCAATTCTGTCTAAATTCCATATCCGATCTGAGAATATAAACCAGCCCATTTAAAAATTGAGCAACTATACGTGAACTCTATTAAAAACATTTAAATACCCTTTTAGGGCTCAATTTACGGGATCTCTATAAGCGTATCTATCATTTCAACTTTGTTGAAAAGACAAGATCATAAAAGTTTTTAATGTTTTCTCACACAAGTTCATTAAGCTAAATAGACAGGCCATATAGGGCCATAAAAAGCAGATAGTTCAAGTTTACAGATCAGGCGCTAGACACGAATAAATATTATTTTATTAATTAATGGAGAATAAAGAGCTTTCAAATGCATTTACGGCTAGAAAACAGCTAAGCGAAGCCATATAGATTTCACATCCTTCGGAGTACCAAGCCAGAAAATGATTTTGAGCCAGCAAAACAGCAGCGGTATGATTTTTTTCAGTTCTAGCGCCAGGGAATAAGATAAGACAAATTGATTTATAATGAATGAGTCATCTGGGATGCAGCGGCAGAACTGCGATACTTATATGTTGGTGTCTGATCTTGGAAGAAACCCCGAACCGAAGCCATTAAGAAAACGAGAACGGGAACGAAAACGAAAACGAGGCAACAAAAAAGCAAGTTAAATGTGGAAAGATGGCCTATCTTTATGCGGCCCAAATTCAGCTGCGATCGAAGGTGGCGTCAAAATACCTTTGACAAAAATAAAATTTGAAACACGCTAGCCGACATTCAACTGCGCCACTTCATTCATGAAAAAGGACAGTTTTTTCACTTTTTGCTGGGCACGGATAATGTGAAATTTATGTCAATCTTATCACCTCGCTTTGGTCCTGGTCCTTATCCATGCCCCTAGCGTATCCTTTTTGGATTTGGGGTGGGTTTATGAATGAACCGGCGACTGCCAACCCTTGGCTCATCTGGGGGTACTTTTTGCCCTGCCGGAAGTCTCCGTTCGACCAATGGAAGAACAGTCCCTTAACAGTTGCTCAATGGCGGCATCGATAGTTGCAGTTCCAGTTGCAGATACTTTTATTAGACACGCGTCGCCAGTTGACAGTTGATGGCTGATAGGAGAGAGGGCTAAGGCTGCGATTGATGGCCCTTTAATAGAGCTGTAAATGCAGCTGGCAGTCGAAAGTCTTATCTCACTTTCATTAGCCAACTGCAATGGAGTTTAATTAATCGGAGGATCTTCCAACGAGGGCAGATAGAACGGGTACAACTGCAGGCCTTTTTTGTAGGCTGTAGCTCAAAATTTATTTTTCATTCTGTAGTTAATTTTATTGTTATTTAAGAATGGTTTCACATCGATTGCCGTAGGGCCATGTTACCCAGTTTAAAATTTGCTCAAAAAATACCTATATTTTCTTCAACAGAATAAAAATAATAAAAATAATATTTTTGTGTTAGTCCGAAATGAAAAGGAAAGCTAGGATAAGTCTTGCTGAACAAACGTAGTATTTAACTAACTAAAATATATATTTAAAGGAAGGTAAGGATTTATTTTAGCAACAAACAGGAGAACAGTTCTAAGCGTCTTTAAATGTTGTGTCATAGCTGCCTTTGAAATTTGCTCAACCACAAACCCAAGCTCAACGAAAGCGAAACGAAGTGCGATTATATAGTCAATATCTTTTGTTTATATAGATAAAGCCCGGTCGTGTGTGTGTGTGTGTGCTTCTGGGTGTGACTGGGCAGATTTCATTCATAAGTTCAGCGGGCTCCACACCCTCGCAACGATTCTTAACTAAGCCGAGCAAATAGCACATGCCATTCTCGGGTGACAAACATCGCTTGCCCAACTTATTGTAATTCTTGAATTTATCTGTCCCTATTGATGACGTAGCTGCAACTAAGAGTGGGTGCGGGCAGGTGGGGGATACCAACCATGACCTCTCAGTCTCAGCAGTCCCAGCAGTCCCAGCAGCAGCAGCTGATTATGTACATTGATAGCGCCCGGATAAGATATTGTCCGTATCGTTCGGCCGTAGTATCTTAACTTTTTCGCGGTACATGGCACGTGCATGGGGGCCAACCTATCGTACTACTATATACACACTCAAAGTCGGGTTTATCTGCATTTCGGGCAGACGATTGTCAAAGTGACGTTTGCACCACATTATCTCGCACCCTTTCCATCTAGAGAATTCTTTGTACTTTGGCCAAGAGGGCGAAAACTTGGCAAAGTCGGATATCCGACGGAATGCAATCATTTTCCATGGAACTCTTTCTGCCCCCATATATATATGCACTTGTATGCTTTCCACATAAATAGTTAAACTTTGTACCTAGTAAGCGGGTGATTTTTCATTTTTACGATTTGTTAGCTCACCAACTGAATCACCATTGAATTTACTTGTGTCCACACAGAATAAGTATCAATCATTTGTGGCAAGCCAACCTAAAGTTCTGCGAAAGTGAATCAATTTTAATTTAATAGAAGGTAAGTAATTAGTCAGAAGAGGGAGAGGGGATTTTTATGAAATCAATTTAGCGTGGAGAACACTTTTGGGAATAAAAGCCCTATATATTTATATAGTTATGAATATTTTATTTAACAGTTTGCATATCGGAAATTATTGTTGCAATTCATTCCAATAGCTCACCAGTTTTCCTTGAGTATTGGTGTGGATTTCCCCAGTTGAGTGTGTATTGAAAAATGGCTACACATGTGTGTGCACATTATTTGGTATATTTATAGCCATGGCAAAGGTGGAACCCACCTGAAAGCCTCCAAGCTATATGGCACTTGTCATGAGCGGACTGGCGGTAAATTCCGGCCTGGCCGCATTGTGAATCAGGTGACAGTGACGATCGAATGTGTTGACACAACTTCGAGGATGGCAATGGGGTGTGGGGTATGGGGAGGGGAAGTGGAATTGGAAGTGGAAGTGCCACCCCCAACGGAATGAGGTCATAAACCCAAGCCGACTGACGTATGGCGGGGAAAGCAAAGCGATTTTATGGCCAAGTTTAATTTCCGCCAAAAGCCAAACTAAACCTGAAAAAAAACACCGAACACACAGGAAAAATGAAAACGAAACCAAGGCACCGCTCTGAGTTTAGGGTTCTGTGAGCAAATACTTCTTCTGGTGGAAATGAAGTGGAATAAAAGTGAAAAATGTGTTCGACAATGTTGACACTGAGCAAGTGAGTGGTAGAAAGGAGAGGGGTCGCCTCCAAGCCCGAAGCCCGTCTCCGTTCAGCTCAGTTTCTGGTACTTTATGGTTGTAGGCGACAAATTGAGCTGTGAGTCGAGAGCGGGCGGTGTCTTTGAAGTCCGACTCAGCCGTCTTGGTTAGGCTTGCGTCTTGTTGACTTTTGTGGCGGAAATCGAGGCGGCCAGTTCGCACTGCCGCGGCCGGAACTGGAGCCACACTTTTGAGACAAGCCGGGCGAAACATGGCATTCAACACTTGTCGCTTGCTCATTGCAGATGGAACAGCAGACAACGCAGCAGCAGCAGCAGCAGCAACAACAACATTTGCAACAGCAGCAGCAACAGCAGCAGGCTCTGACCAAGCAGCAACTCCATCTGCTGGACAAGATCAAGCTCGAGTCCAGCAACGGCGCCGATCCGTTGGCCCAGCAGGCGACCAACAATCTGGATGAGCAGCAGGAGCAGCAGCAACAACAGCAACAACAGCAGCAGCAGCAACAGCAGACCGCAACATCGGTGGGCGTGGTGGTGCAGACGGGCCAAGCGGGCGTCAGCGAACCGGAGGAGCAGTACGTGTTGGTGCCACGCAACCAGCGCCGCATCCTCACCACAGCGGGAACGCTGTAAGTAATCTGTGAGCAAAACGAAAACGCAAAAACGAAAGACATTCTCAAATTTAAATTTGAAATACAAATACCTAATGAATATGGCAATGGCTAGTTACTATTTAACATTTTATTGTCAGAGTATTAAATACTAAAAACATTTCAGTGAATTAAACGAAGCTCGTGAAGGAGAGCCGAGCACAAACGCCAGCAACGCTAGTTCCGGATCTGCTCCGGATAGCCACATCGAGTACCAGCGCGGTGCGCACCAATCTCCCGGCGCCACCCACTACGTGCAGATGGCGCCGCGCAACGCAGAGGTGCCGGAACAGGTGGGAGCTGCTGCCGGAGCTCCTCCGGGCACCATCTTCGCCTATTCCTCCGCACAGATTATCTGCAGCGGTGACGATGTGGCCGCGATCAAGATCGAAACTACCGAGAAGGGTGAGGCAGCGGGGGAGTCGCAACAGCAGCAGCAGCAGCAACTGCAGCAGCACCAGCAGCAGCAGCAACAACAGCAATGTCCCACGCCCAACGGAGCCAGCTACGGCGAGACCATAGTGATCAGCAGCGAGGCGGAGGCACTGCAGCATCACCACCAGCAGCAGCACCAGCACCAGCAGCACCAGCACCAGCAGCACCAGCACCAGCAACACCATCAGCATCAGGCGGCAGCTGCAGCATCGGCGGCGGCCCAGACGGTCCACATTGCCACCACGGTGCATGGCACCACCGTGCGCTTCATCCCGGAGGATGGACGCTTCACCACCGCCGGACCGGAGGCGACCGCCTCGAATCTGTACTACGATGCACCCGTGGTAGATGCCACTGTGCATGCCAACGAGTCGAAGACGTACGCCGATCTCGGCAACGCATACGCCCCCTTCCCGCCCAGCTCCAACTTCAGCAGTAATAACTATGCCGCCACACTGCAGCAGGGACACATTTACAGCGTTCCGGGCACCGCGCAGTTCTTGACCAAGTCCGAGTCTGGACTTAATCAGCTGCGCCCGGCTGGACAGTCCACCTTTCAAACGATATCTTTCGAGACCGGCAACGGCATCGATGCTTTGTGGGCACCTTCCGCCCAGCCGGAGTACCAAAGTGTTCAATTCGTAAGTATAAGTTAAGTTACGGATTTTTGGGACGGAACTAACAATCTCCCTCATGCTGCACAGGGCAACTTCCATTCGCAGGCTCCTGATGACTACGGGAACAACAATATGAGCATCACCCATTGGCCAGCCGCCAGCAGCATAGGAGCGTACGATGGAAGTCTGGTGACCGCCTCGTCCACCTCGTCGCCCAACCACGAGCTTAAGTGCGAGAATTGTCACTCGCAGCTCCTACGGAAGGGAAGCGATTACTTCTGCCCCAACTGCCCGTCCTTCATGCGGATTCAACGTATACCCCAGCGGCAGGCGAAGCCCAAGGCCGCCGCCGCCCCCAACAACCGGCGCAACGGTGTCACCTGCGCCAACTGCCAGACCAACTCGACGACCCTGTGGCGTCGCAACAACGAGGGCAATCCGGTGTGCAATGCCTGCGGACTGTACTTCAAGCTGCACAACATGAACCGACCGCTGTCGATGAAAAAGGAGGGCATCCAGAAGCGCAAGCGGAAGCCGAAGAACAATGGAGGAGCACCCATGCACCGAGGAACGCTGCCGAGTAAGTACACCTACCAGTTATTACAGTAATTGCAATAAGCTAATCCTGGTTCCTATATCCACAACCAGGCATGCCGCAAGGTGTCAACCTGATGGCCAACAGCACGCTGTACCCCTCCCAAGTGCCGGTTAGCATGCTGAGTAGCCAGCAGAATGCCAGTCCGGAGCTGCACGACATGTCGACGACGGGTCCGGCGGGTGGGCAGCGGGTGGCGGCCATTTCGCTGAATGCAACGGCGCCACCCACCACCGACGGAACGCTGAACATGTCCGCCCGTCATCACGTGACCGGCGAGAGCCACTCACCGTACAGTCAGCAGTCAACGCCACAGAGTCAATCGCCGCATCTGCCCAGCACGGTGGCGATAAGCCGTCAGATAGTCCACCCGTAAGTAGAAGATACCTCTTGATTCCAATGCGAACGCTTCTGTAATAATCACACCTTATAGAGTACCCACCATCGAAAGCAGTCGCAGTTCCAACAACGAACTGACCCCAAGCGTAATCACGCGCACTGGTCTGCCAGAGAGATCATCGAATAACTAAGCTAGCCTTGACTTAACTACGCACTAAAGTAACTATAGTTGACCTAACCCAAATGTCAGAAATTGCCAAAATATTTATTTAAGCCATAGCCGTAGTCATATAGCCAAGACCAATGTCCCAGTTAGAGGAAGAATTTTCCGAGTTTCTGGGTTTCCGGGTTTCCGGGCTTCCAGTAACCATTTTACCAAAATGTCTTCCTCCTTTTAGTCAACTGCATACGGCAAAAAGTTTTGAAATGATTTGTGCCAACCACTTAGGATCGCTGTACTCTATAGAGGTATAGAGGTGGTTTAGCCCACGACAGCACAAGCCCATAATGAAGTCTACGATTTTGTATGTTTAAGCCTCTTTTTAATTCTACAAAATAAATAAGTTGTAAACGCAAGGCACTCGGACTTTGATGGCTCTACCAGGATGCGAGGGACCTCGCCGGGGATCGTTATATTTCATTGTCAACAATTTGGCAGCCAACCAAATTGATCCAAATTAATTTTAATGACCCCCACAGACCACAGCGCGAGACCATAAAATCTTAACAAGTTGGCAGGCAAGAGCCCCGCGATGGGGCAAGCCAGCAACGAGGACCCCAGATCCCTCGCGGATCACCGAAGCAGTGGAGCAGTGGAGCAGTGTCTAAATAGCGATTTGGTGTCATCGCTTAAAAGCCTGTCCGACGCACAGTAACGCCACCGCCCGCAGCCGCTGCCTTTGATCTGCTGTCGGCGGTCGACGGTCGACGGTCGGCGGTCGGATGGAACGGTATGGTTCGGTATGGTATGGTATGGTATGGTGTGGTATGGCAAAAATGCCCCACAGCCCGGGGATGGAGTCCAGTTTGAGCTGGAGCCGAAGGAGGTATGGTATTAACGCCTTGCGCTTGGGCTCTCTCTTTGTCCGAGCCTTCTTTTTGTTTTTGGCGTACGCTCGATCAATTAGGCAAACTTGTTTTACGACCGCTTTTATTAGCGTCCGCTCTGGCCGGCGCTCCAAGTTTACCGAGTCGGAGTTAAGCCGCGACTCCACTGGGGAGACTTCCACTGGGGCCTGGGCCCCAAGTTGGTTGTGCTTTTCAGACGGCGGTGCGAATGAGTAATGAGACGGCGGCCCCAGCAACCGGCAGCTATGGAATGTGTTGGCAAAAATTATGTGCAGCGTCAAGTTGGGCAAGTGGAATGGAATGGATTCGAGGGAATCGAAATGCCATGGTCGGGACTTTTGGAGCACTATTTTTTAAAAAATAAAAAAAAGTAAATAAAAATAATGCTCACCATAGGAAGCATAACACCCCGACAGATGCTCAAGCTGACCAGCTTGCAACAATATTCACTCATACTACCAATAGTTCAGATTCTAATATTTAATTAGGAATAATTCATAACTTTTTACACCTTTTGCTCAGTTTTGTTTTTTTTTTTTTGTCATTGTAAAGTGGCTCCAAGAGGGCTGGAATCACACTTAAGTTGTGAATGTTATATGAAAGATACAATTGTATCTTTGATGTTTATTTAATGCTGTTTATTGATATTATTGATAATAATCTCAAAAGGATTGTACTCAAATGAAGTGTATATACTGCTTCCCAAAAGTAATGAAACTTCATAATCTTTTACCGCCCTTTTGCACGAACAACCGTCTTGAAAGGAGCTGCTGCCACCACATACGCGTTTTAATTAGCCTCGTCAGACACATAAAGTATATCGGAATCGCAATTGTATTTATGCTTTAGTAACTCGGCAATCCATAATAAGCGAACCACTAATAGCTGCCGCACCTGTGGCCAGCGGCACATCCTCTGCAGCAGTGAATTAAAACATTAGCGACCAACCTGTTCCATTTCCCATTTTCCCTGGCCAAAGGCTGAGGGTGCGGGGAGCGGTGAGTTGGCGAGACCGTAAAATAATAATTCAATGTGACAGGCAACAAGATACGACAGCGGGCGCCATTTTTCAGATGCCACAGCACAGCACCCCCCTTGGCCAGCGATCTCCTGGCACACTTATCTACCATACAAGTTGCAACGCTCTGACATTATCGCCAGAATTATGACAGACGTACAACGGCGCAGGGAATGGTGGAATCACCGGGTGGGGGGCAAAAGCGATCCGCTAATCTCCGGAGCCTTGCATGCATTTGAATTTCTATTAAGTTAATTGCAATTGGCCAAGGCGAACGCGCATTTGTTCATGTCCAATAACAGTTAAGTAACGATTGTTTCTACAGGGAGAGAAAATTATAAATTATGTGATGGGATATCAATCCTCGCAATTGAATAGTTAAAATTCATTGAAAACCAGCTTTTGCCTGTGGCACAAGCCCTTTTAAGAAATACAAGCTATCCAGCTGCTTTTCTCTCCGTGCAGATGCGATCGAGATAGAGTGGAGGGCTCGGCTGGGTCATCTAGTGGTGGGATAAAAGCCGACATAAAGTCGAAACTGTCAACTCCCCCACTCCCTGTGCATTTAATTAGCCAGCGCTGACCACCTAGCACGGCGGCCTCTTGAACCCGCCTCGGTACTGAACTGGATCTCAAACTGGCCCGAAAACCCTGAGCCAGCCAGAGAGCCATAGGCGCCACTTAGCCAACTTCAAAGTGCGGCCGCAGTCGCGGGTCGCTGGTGGTGCATCTCCCTCGGAATGGGCCGCAAGCTACCATCATCGTCAGCGTCATTTTCATGGCTGGCATTACAAATCGACAAACGACACGAAAATGCGCTTTAACAACTCGCAGTTAAAATAGATAAAGGCCGATAGTCAGACGACGCCGGTCAACTGCAAGTCCATATGGATGAACTCGGGCGACTCCAGATAGGAAGATAGGCGGAAGAACCCTAAGATCGTTTACGAACCCGACTATCATTTGTTTTGGCCAAAGCTTGGGAGATCCAAAACAGACAGATTATACTAAAAAAAATGGTTTCTATTAGTTACCTGTATATTTAAGCTTTCTAAACAACTCGCTGAGATTAATTGGACCTGGTGGGCAGGCTGATATGGTACCTGGGGTGCTCTACCCATCGAAAAATAGTAATATACGAGTATAAGATATTCACAATATCCTACAAATATTTAGATGCCCTGGGGGATTTACGGATTATTATAACTCTTCTGTTTGTTGTAATACGTTTTAAACATATTTCCAAAGTATATTTGTGTACTTACCATTAACTCAGAAATGTATTAGTAATACAGAACTATAGAATTCCCTTGTATCTTTTGCCCTGAACTCCATCGTATGATCATAACCACAGACACACCCAAAGACCCAGTGACGTCACAAGAGCCACAACAGCATCATCGACTAAACCGCTTCGATTCGAGTTCTAGGAAAAAATATCGAAATTCCGAGAATTCACACGAAAGACAAAACGCGATGGCTTTGGAGGAGCCGCAGAGGGAAGAACAAAAGGCGGAGGAGGAATGGATATGGGGGATATGGGTTAAGGTATTCCCTTGTCTCGGGTCCCTTATCACAACTCACGCGCGTCTCGTTCCATTTCGGTTTTCGGCTCGGACCGACCCGAAATCACATTATCTTTGCTCTCCGTTGCGAGATGGCGACGCAGCTAATGGATACGCCGCATCCACTTCCATATATGTAGATACATATGTGCACACACATATAGGTAAGGCATAACATATCACAGATGACGACGATGATGATGATGGGCCCTCTCTCTCGCTCTATCTGCCCCGTCTCTTTCGCAGACGCCGCCCGGACTGGAGGAAGATTGAAGATGCGGCGCTTATCGAGCAGAAAAAGGAGCAGGGAACGAGAAGATGAAGCCCGAAAAGAGTTCACGATGTGAGTTGCAGCAGTCCCATCTCCTCCGCATATTTCTGTGTGTCGTTCCTTATCGCCCGAGCTGCAGACTTTGCCCCTGTCCCTTCTCCACTCCACCTGGAGCTCCTGGGCCATCGCATTTGCATCGCATCACGGAATGCAACTTGGGCGAAATGAGCTGGGAAAGGGTTCTCTGGGGCTCAGAAACGTGGCGCCAAAGGAAGCGTTGAAAATGGTACTTGATCTTGATCGCGATGCCTCTCGCCGACTGTAATTTAGACGGCGCCTCGATCCTTGCTTCACACTAATGCACTTGCAGCTTTTAAATGTCGTCAGGGGCAGTGGCACTCCTCCAGTCCCCTATCATGATCACGATACATGATCCAGCTAGGCCACTTTGTGATATTGTAATCCTTTGGGCTCTTGGCCGCTCTTTTTGTCCGCTCTGAATGCACTGGACAAGCAAGTTGCTCGAGTGAATTCAATTGGAAAATTTAGTGATAATTCTTTTTGGATTGGTTTGTATTCAAAGGAGTTTTATATATGAATGATTGTCGGTCTTGGTCTCTTGGGAAAAGCTAGCCCCTAGAGAGCGCTGGAAGTTGGTATCCCCAAAGTTGGATATTAAAAATATAACCAAACGATTTTTTGAAGTTTTAAAGTGTGAAATACAAGTTTTGTATGCAACATCTTCTATGCAAACGAGTAGAAATGATATAAAAAAAAACTTTGTTGAAATCACCACTCGATAATAAATAAAAAGGTGCCTTACTAAGCCATAAAAGAAAACCATTAACCATTTGGCCACTTAACAACTTTGTTGGCAGGCGCCAACTTAAACACAGAACTAAAGTGAAAGAGGGCCCAGATATTGGCCATAATAATTACAATGTATGGCACCCACTTACGAAGAGCATCGCTCATATCGAAACGGGGGACCAAATCTATGATTGGCATCCTCTTCAATTAGGCGCCCGCGAAAATCCTGCAGAGCTTTTCATTAGTTTATCGAACGGCTCTGGTGGGGGAAATATTTCAAATGCTGCCTCAAAAGCGGTCCCAACCAGTTGCAATTAAAGGGACGACTCTTGGGCCCCTTTTCACAACTGGCGCCGCTTTCGCGGACCCTTCAACGTGAGAAAATTCCGCTCGGGATTGTATAGGCAAAATGTCTCGTTATCGTGCGCCAGCATACCTGAACAAAAATGTATGTGCGTATGCTTGAGATAGTGGCCAGAAACCACAGCCACATCCAACAAAAAGCGTAAATGTCAAAATGCCAAAATTAATTGCAATGGCAGTGCGCTGGATAAGAGTCCAGAAGGAGGCGAAAGAGCCAGAGCTGCCACGCCACCTCAAGGAGTCGGAGGCGAAGGCGAAGACGAAATCCCAATCAGACCCGGTCGTAGCCACAGCCCACTTTTTGGGCGCCACAGAAAAGGGGCAGGGAACTGGGCGCAGGTCAAGGGT